CTGAACTTTTCAAAATCGGGCCTTGGAGGGAGAGAGAGATTGATTGATGGAATTGGTCCCGTACGAATCGGAGACGAACAAGTCATCGATCCCCGCAAATCTCGCGTGGTCAGACATGTTTCGCTCCGCTTCATCGCGTAAACCTCAAGAGCCTCCTCCGTCTTCTTCTTCATCGGAGCCGCCGCAAAAATCTTCCGGCGATGGAAGAGAATTCGGCAAGACATCGTTATCCACCGCCGATTCACAGGCGCGTCTCGCTATGTACATAGCCATGGCTCACGCTGGTCTCGCTTTCGCCATTTTCGTTCTGTATTTTGCCGGGAAGCTATTGCAAGAGTATCTGAGACCGATTCAGTGGGCGATTCTTTGTTCGATTCCTTTGAGAGGTATTCAAGAGACCCTTGTTGATTTCTGGAGCGAGCCCTTGAAATTAGGTCTCACGGAAGTCATTCTCGCTGTTCCGGTTTGGGTTTTCAATGTGTTCATCGAATCGATTGTGGATATCAAAAACGTGTGCTTTAGGGTTTTTCTAAGGAGATCGAAACCTAAGAGGAATAGGAAGAGGAACGAGACTGGGTTTTCGAAATTGGTCAAATGGTTAGTCTCGTTTTGTGTGTTTGTGATTGCTTATGAGAGGATTGGTGGAATTGGGTCTCTTGTGATTCTCTCTTTAGGGTTTCTGTTTAGTTCCAAGAATGTGGATTCGACTCTCTCTGCTGTTTCTTCCCTGAGGAGTAACAGCTTTAGGAGAAGCCATTTCACTGCTTATTTCACAAGAGGGATCATGAAGAGATTGAACACAATTGTTGCTATTGGTTTGATTGTGCTTATGATTCTTGGATCGTTGACTGGTGTTATCTTCTTCTCTTATAAGATCGGTGTTGAAGGGAAAGATGCGGTTTTTTCTCTGAAATCGCATGTCGAAGAGAGCAATTACGCTGAGAAGATTGGTGTGAAGCAGTGGATGGATGAGAATGATGTTCCGGGAATGGTTGATATGTACACTACAAAGTTCTATGAAACGGTTTCCGATCAGATTGATAGTTTAGCATTGCAGTATAACATGACGGAGTTAGTCACGGGGATCAAGCATTTCGTGATCGGGCAGCCTCAGAACACGTCAACGCCATCCACAGCGCTTATAACTCCGTCTCCTTACACTGAGAAGCTTATGAGTCTGAGGGCTCGGGTTAAGAACCGAGAATGGAGTCAGATCTACTCAGAGGTCGATGTGATTTTCAGGGAACTTATAATCACAAGAGAAGATTTAGTAGAGAAAGCTAAAGGCTTTGCTGTTAAAGGAATGGATGTATCGCAACGGGTTTTCTCGAGCAGTGCATCGGTTGTTGGAGGAGGCGCTAAGTTCTTTTTCGCTATTGGAAACTTGATAATCTCTGGAGCAGCAGAGTTTTTCAACTTTGTCTCTCAGCTAATGGTTTTCATTTGGGTTCTGTACGTTCTAATCACATCGGAATCAGGCGGTGTAACCGAGCAAGTCATGAACATGCTCCCGATTAACTCAGCCGCTAGAAATAGATGTGTTGAAGTCCTAGACTTAGCGATCTCCGG